ATGCCCCTTTCTGCTTCTGAGGTCCTGGATCCTGGTCCTGAGGACCAACAGACTCCTGGGGCCAGGCTCTAGTCAGGCCTTGGGGACGGGGCCTTGCTTTTCTTGGGCTCTCCTCTAGATGGTGCAAGTGGGCCAGTCTTGGGCAGTGTTTCTGGTGGCCCCCTTCAACCCGGAGGGCCTTTCCAGAGTGATGGTGGCCACAGGACATATCTGGCTGCAACAGCCAGTGTGGTGAGGAGACCCATGGGATGGCCACACCGAGGGCCTCCGGTGGGCACAGCAACCTAGCCTGATCTGGGCCGAGGCACCCCTCCCGACCCCACCTTGCAGCTGACTTCTTTCCTGGCTTCACCCCACTTGTCCAGTTATAACTTCCAGGCCAGGAGCCGTCCTCCCCACTCTGAGACAGAGTGTACACTGTTCCCAGTTCCCAGGTGGGCAGGTCCCAGCCAGCTCTGAACCCTTCCTTTCAAATGCCATCTCCAAGAAGCATAAGAAAGGCCCCCTCTGTGCATATGGGGACCTCCTTCCCATGTGGGGGCTCTAGGGGCTGCTCTCCTAACAGAGGTCTGAGGTCTGTCTGCCTTCACCACTAACCACACCCCCACACCCAGCAGAGGCTGCTGGAGACTGTCTTGGCTCACCTCTTCTGTCAAGGTCCCTCTGGGTGGGGTGCGGGGATGTGGGGAGGGGTTTTCCTCAGAAACTGGTCCGGATGTGGGAGGGAGGGTGAGTCTGTGCCCCCGGGCGGCAGGAGGAAGCCACATGGGTGATGCATGGCACTGGACTACCTAGGAGCCTGACGAAGGCCTCCTCTACCTGGGGCTTGGCCTCTGGGGCTCTGGGCCTGGGGGTCTATGCATCCAGCTTGCTCCCAGGTGACAGAGAGCAGTGACATCTGGGGAGCCCCCGGGGAGCACCCAGGAGGGCCTGGAGTTGATGAGGCGCCCTCATCACCCAGCCTTGGGGCATGGGTGTGTCCTTTGTGCATCTCAGACCTCTGGGTAGGGGCTAGGATATGGGGGCACCACCTCCCTGCATTGCCAAAGTGTCACTGCACACATTTTGTGCCCTGTGCCCACGAGGACTGGGGCTTATATATTGGTTTGTTTGTTCTTTCACTTACTTTACCTTGGGTGGTAGTCTGAGCACAGAGCCTGCAGCCCCTGGTGGGGTGCTGCCCCCACTCCTGCCTGCCCCCTGAGTCTCCAGAACGAGCTTCCAGGCCTCAGAGGGGAGACTCTGTGTGAGCTCTCCTTGCATTTGCCCTCAGGCACCTCTGGAGAGATGCCGTCTGGTGTGTGGACCCTCCTGGCTGGGTAAGCAGAGGAGTGGAATGGAAGGGGTGGTGGAAAGGGAAGTGGGCAGGGGGTGGGGGTGACTGGGTGACGGGCACTGAGGGGGGCACTTGATGGGATGAGCACTGGGTGTTATTCTATATGTTGGCAAATTGAACACATAAAAAATAATTTTTTTTTTTAAAAAAAGGAAAGTCCTTTCCGTCTCTTTGTTCGGGATGGGACGGCTCCCTCCACTCTGGCATCTTCCACCCCATGAGGTCTCACGGGAGCCTGGGGCACAGGCTGGTCAGGGTGTTGGGCCTGTGTTCTCTCTCCGCAGCTGTGGGTGCATCGGGGGCCACTCTGGCTTGATTTTGAATACAGAAAGAGGGGTCTCCTGCATCTAGAGGTCAGGCCTGAACACCACATGCCCAGTGTTAGATTCACGGAAGTCATCTCTCAGGTCTGGGACTCAGTGTGACAGCTGTAAAATGGGTGTAGTCGGGTGGGGATTTCTCTCGGGGGCATGGGGGCTGGTCCTGCATCCTGGCCAGGCCTGCGGCCCAGGCTCTGATCCCACCTCCTCCCTTCATACCGAGCTTGTGGCAAAAAAACTGATGAACACGCCTTGCGAAGTCTTAGTAACACTGGGGTAGCGTTGAGCAGAGCCGCAGACCTCGTCCCTCCTGTCCCCATCGCCGTGTCCCTGAGAAACCACATCCCACGTTCCCCTGGGTGTGTTCTCGTCTGCGTCTGTCTTTCCTCTGTGTCTCTAACTCACAGACAGATGTGACAATGGTTTTAAGTTTAACACCTATCAACTTTCTGCCCTGCAAGAGAGGAAGGCCTCAGCTCCCAGACAGCACCCTCCCCGCTCAGTCCCGACTCGGTTGTACCACCTTTTCTTTCTTTGGAGAAGGAATGTTGATTATGCCTGTGAATACCATACAGTGCTGAGTCATGAGTTCTCGTAATTATACGTCGTCTCCTGCCCTGCTGATCCTCTGGGAGGAAGGCATTTCCTGTCTGCCCGTCCGTCCCGGTAGGTTTGCATCACCGGCTGCGGCTGTGTCGTCCCCTCTTCTGCAGGAAGAGCCAGTTCCTCTGTTCCGTGTCTTCCTGGCCATGGCCCTCCCACGCCCTGCTCTGCCCGCTAAGCCAGGGTGGCACGGACACTCCCCTGCCCACTTTCCTTCTTTGGCTTTCTCCCTGGGTGCCATCCTCCCGCAGTTTCCGTCCAGGCCTGCGTCCTTGCCCAGGGTCCAAGGTCTCCTCGCTGGGTGGTTGGCTGGACAGGCTGTTGAGGGAATAACCAGCTCCCCATAGCTTCAAGCATTACCACCATCACATCCCAATCGTCCAGCTTTGGGAAGTGTTTCCGTGTGTGCTGGGAGTGAGGGGTCTCCTTTCTACCTGACCTGCCTTCCTCCCAGCCAGCCGTCTGCCTTCGAACCTCCGGCTCTGCTTTGCATTGGCCACTGTTAGCAAGAGTCCTTTTAAGTGACTTGAGTGAGAGCCCTGAGCACCCCTGATGCCTGATGGGGGTCCCCATCCTGCACACCCAGGTGGTGTCCAGTCGCCCAGACCCTGCACTTCCTCAGGGGCCTCCTGCCCCTGGTCTGTGAATCCCCACTTTCTGAGCTGTGTCTGAATGGAGCCCAGGGCCACATTGAAGTCTCGTGACCACTGCCACCGTCCTGCGCTGGTCTTCCTTCAACACATCTGCATGTTCTAGTTTCCTCGTGATGCTGCCTGGCTTTTGAAGGGAGGCAGAGTATGTCACCCCAAAGTGGGCCTCTTTGGCATAAGGATTATTTTGAGCTGGTTATTTTGAGAAATAGCAGACACAGGAGATGCTCTGAAGCAGAGCGGAAGTGACCCTGTAGAGTGGGATGTTCGCATCGAAAAAGGGCACCTCCACATGTAGGGGTGTGTCCTGCTGTGGCTGAGGAGGACCCAGGACTGCAGGTCACAGAGGCAGGTTCTGGCTTGAATCTGCGTGACAATCACGTGCTTGCTTACTGTCTTTGCTCAGGCAGCTCCAAAGGACCTGGGGGTTCTGTGTTGGGACCCGAGGAAAAAGGTCAAATGTGTGTTTCCCATGGTGGCACAGGCACGCCGGGCAGCTTGCATGTGGACGTTTATTCTCGCAGTCTGGAAGCTGGACTCCCAAGAGCAGGTGCAGGGCTGGTTTCTGCTCAGGTCTGCTGCCTGTCCCCAGATGGCCTGTCCCCACGTGGCCTGTCCTCTGCAGGTGCAGAGAGAGATCTGCAGTGTTGCTTCTGTCCTCCTCCAAGGACGCCAGTCCTCGGGCATTGGGCCTCACCTCTTGACCCCATTCAACCTGAATCGCCTACTTAACGGCCCATCTCCAAATGCAGTCACAGTGGGGGTCGGGCCTCAACCTAGGAACTTGGGAGACATGTCTTTGCACGTGGCCTGGCCTGGTGTCTCCATTTCCTCTATCCCTTCCCCATCCCTATTGTGTGGAGGGGTCTAGTTTGTGGTGTACATATGAGTTGGTCATGTGTCACCCCCTCGCTGTCTGGTGGCGAGTCAGGGTCTGCATATAACAGCTGCCCAGCACCTTCTACTGGACTGATGGTGAGTGGACCAAGGGGGCCAAGGAGCCCCTGGGTCAGAGGCTGTGAGAGGAGCACCCTATTCTTTCTGGATGGCCTGGGAGCTGGGGGGATGCGTTTTCCGGGGCAGGGATGGGGAACAGAGGAAGACTGGAGAAGCATGGTGGGCAAGGCCCAAGGTACACAGGTGCCAGCTACTGGCAAGAAGGGGCAGGGATGACTCGGCCAGGAATCACTGGGTGAGTGGTGGGTGGGAAGCCTGCGCCAGGGAGGGGGCTGCGGAGAAGCTGGCTTTGGGGGCCACATTAGCACACCTCCCACTTACTGCCTTTGTAGTCGAGGTTCTTTTGTATTTCTGTGGCAGGCAGGCCTGCCGTACATTGAGTGCAGCTCCAGGTGGGATTCAGGGATGGAGGGGAGGCCTCTGGCCCTGGAGCCAATGGCATGGCCATTCCAGAAACCTAACCTGACTTTTGGGCAGAGTGTCAGCCCCTCACTGAGCTTCAGTGTCCCCACCTGTGAAATGAGAAGAAAGCCGACCTTGCAATCTTGCTTTAGAGACAGTGATAATTTATGTTGGCTGGTTTGCAAGGTGCTGGTGCACAAAAAAGGGGCTGCAGGGGGGCTGGGGCATAATGGGACGCAGAGCCCAGGAGGCACCAGTGTGCTCTGCTCCCAGGGATTCTTGAGCTCCGGGGTTTATGTTGGCCCTCAGGGGAGTCCTCTTCTTGGAAGCCCTGGGGCTGGCCTGTCATAGAATCCTGTGCCCACACGGTGCCCCACGCGGACAACAGGCTTAGGGGGAGCCTCCAGGCAGGGCTCCCAGGAGCATTCAGGCCCTGAATGTCCTGGCTCCGCTGGGCAAACACAGTATGCCTACAGGTGCCAGGGCTGTGTAGGCATGATGCTTACCCTCTGGGACTGACCCTCACCCAGCTCTGTCTGCACCTGCCACACCAGAAGTGGGACATGTGGCTAGCCCCCTCTTCTTCCCTGCCTGCAGCAGGCCCTCTTCCCAGCCATGGTGCCAGCCACAGCGCCTGGAAAGCTGAGCCTCGGCTCCACCCAGTTCCAGGACTTACTTCTGTGGAGGGTGGGTGGCAGCGGAGCTCAGGGCATGAGGACCCAGACTCCAACATACATTTGCTCTAGTTTTATTGCACTTTTACCACATTGCAAACTATTCCACAAAAATGCTGCAAAATTCAGCTTGTTGCCGAGGCCCACAGAGGAGCCCATGTGACGTATTTACACCAACTATCAAAGCAGAGTCAGAAGATGAGCAGCATCCTCAGCCGCCGAGAAAAGTCCAGGTGCTGCTGGGCGGCTCTGAGAAATGGAAGACGTGGTCATCGGCGTCACTCTGAAACTGGGAGTCTGTCCGTCCACCAGCCCATGATGACACCGGGTGCCTTCTGCACTGAGACGGGACTCAGCCATGGGGCTCGGGCCCCAGGAGGGAGAGATGGGGGCTTGTTTCAAGTTAGGTCCAGAGTGAGTGCACCTGGGGGGAGAGCCCGGCCCCAGTGGGCGCGGCCCTCTTGTGTGCATTTGGTAGGTGGTCTGGGGTCTGCATAGGTGTCACTATTTATGTACATAGACACCATGGATAAATACAAAATAGTAAATAAAGGCTTCCTTTCCATAGAAAAAGGGTGGGTCGCCCCCGCCGCCAGGCCGCCTCGTCCGTGAGCACAGAGCGCCCCCTCCCCAACCTTCTCTGGTCTTGAAAGCGAATACAACGTGTCTTGTCAGACCCACTGCCGAAGGACCCCACGTTCCCGTGGTTCCCCAATTCCCGGAGTGGCCTGTCTGTTCCTGAAGTCACCAAATTCGCGGTGCAGATGCGCGTGTCCCTCCTCCACGGCAGGCTGGCGGCTCTCGGTCACTACCTGCCGGGGGGGGCTCTGTGCTCGGGGTCCAGGTCATCCTCCACCACGCTGTGGGGCCCGTCCTTCTCCACGCAGTCCCTGATGGCCTGCAGCACGATGCGCAGCCGCCGGTCCAGGGCCTCCAGGTGCGGCCTGTACAGGATGGGGGCCACTCGGTCCTTGCGCAGGGACTCGGCCATCAGCAGACTCAGCCTGTACTCCTCCTTGGCCAGAAGCTGCAGCCGCAGGTAGGTGGACTTCCTGATCCTGCAGTGTAGACAGAGGTCAGTACCTGACCCCCAGAAACTGGGTATGGGGAGGCTGGGATGAGGAGCCGTGTTGGCTCTATGTGGGGTGGTCCCAGGTTGGTCCCTGACCTGCTCAGAGGCACCGTGGTGAGCATCCTGCCCGGCAGCGCAGGTGGCCACTTGAGACCCGAGGGGTGAGCACAGGGAACCAATACTCCAGGCAGACACAGGGTGGGGAGGGACAGCCCACCCATCCAGGGGACGGTGCCCAGCTCAGCTCTCCACACCTGCCCTGTGGCCTGTTTCATCAACCGTAAAAGGAAGCATGGGTGGGGAGTCGGGGGGGGGTGGAGCCCCACAGAGAGGGTTGCAGAGTGGCACAGAGCACTGGGGGCAGGACACTGTCTGAGCCTCACTGTCCTCATCTGTAAGATGGGCCGTTACGGCTGGCACGAGCTGCGTGCCAGGAAGGGCTTTGCAGAGCCATAGCTCCCACTGCCAGGTGTCGGGGTGCCAGCCTGTGTGCTGCCGTGCAGTGGGAGTGGGGCTTCGGGGGAGCCCCTCTTCTCTGTATCTTGGCTGGCAGGGATCGGGGGACTCTGCCCAGCCTGTGGCTGGGCTGGGGGCTTCCTAGGGGCAGAGGGTGGACACCGTACCTGCAGCACTGCTGTAAAGGCACCAGAATGGACAGCTCGTCATGGGAATATTTTCCAAACCTGCCCAAGGGAAAGCAGGATTGCTGAGGGTGCCATGGGCAGCAGGACTCCTGCGTGCACCACCTCCCACACGCATCCTCCGGGGGACCCCAAGCACTGCAGTGAGCAGCACCTCGTGTGTGCCCTGCCAGGCCACCAGGGCCACGGAAACCAGGCAGTGTGTCCCTGGCAGTCTGTCTCCAGCACCCCTGGGCATGTGTCCTCTAGCAGTGTGTCCCCAGTGCCCCAGGCAATATGTCCCCTGGTAGTGTGTCCCTGGCCAGTGTGTCCCCAGCAGTCTGTCCCCAGTGTGTGTCCCCAGCAGCCTGGGCAGTGTGTCCCGGTCTCTGCTGTCCCCAGCAGCACACGTGGGGCCTGGGATGAGAGAGGCCCCTGAGAGCTGCCTGGTGTTCTGGCCACTGCACTGGGCAGCAGCTCATAGATGCGGGACCTGAGGCAGGCCGAGGGGAGAAGGCACCAGGGTGGGGCAGCCCAGGGTCTAGCCGCAGTGCTGCCTTTTACAGCTGGGAAGCTGTGGCCCCCACATACAACTGTCCAGGCATCTGAGACCAGCAGCTCTAACCACTTAGGAATGTAGGTCCCCGCATGCACCGCTCTGCTTATAAGGCAGAGGGCTCTCCTAGGTGGCCCAGGCCTGCCCAGAAGCCAGCCAGCAGTGGCCACTGGCCCTCTTCGTGGGGCAGGGAGAGCCATTTGTCCCAGCAAGCCAGTCCCAGATGACTAAGATGCCTTCTGGGCAAGTAGCCTCTCTGGGACTCAGTTTCCCCAGGGTAACAGGAGGACATGACAGGACTCAGCACACAGGGTGACCCTGATGGTCAGGAAGAGTAACACTACAGGCCTTTCCTGCCGACAGGAGCTGCATCACACACAAAGCGTCCCCAGGGGACGGCCACCACCTGCACTCGGAGCCCGAGTCCTCCCAGGTCCAGAAGGCTCACCCTCTTCCGTTGTCTAAGTGAATGATAAACGTCTCGTTGCCAAACTTCTCAAAAGTCTCATAGTGATGGCGGTCCATGTTCCCTGTGGAGAGAAGCAGACCGAAAACTCAGGGCTGTCCCCCACTGCTCACGTCTGACCCCAGGGCCAGAGCCACGGGGCAAAGCAGGTGTTTGGCCGCAGCAGGGTCACATGTAGGGTGGGAGCTCCCAGTGCAGGCTGGGGCTGCGACATACCCATGAGGAAGTCAAAAATGGTCATGTCCATGATGTCCAGGACGCGGTGGCTGCTGTCATAGGGGGGTGTCTGCTTCACCTCCTCACAGTAGTCAGGGTCCACTTCCCACCTGCAGGGAAGCCAGTGTGAGAAGGCCAGGTACCTCCTCTGTGTGGACAGGGAGGCCCCAACCAGCTCAGCACAGCAGAATTACTGCAGTGAGGACCGGGGGTGGAGAGAGGTGTCACCACAGAACAGTGCTGACAGCTGAGGCTGCATCAACAGGAGTATGGGCCTGGGAGGTGGTCAAACCACATCTGGAGGGTTGCTGTTAAGAAACAGGGCCTGGACAGCATAGTCACAGAGATACCTCCATGGCCACCCTTTTGCACAAGGGACAAGAAGGGCAGGGAGTGTGAGTGAAGTTCAAACTCGGACAAGCTGTGTTTCGGGCTGCAGCAGGCCAGTCCGCTCCACTGCGGGGGTGCATCTGATTCTCACTGCCATCTACTCACAAAGGGGAGGTGCCAGCCACGCAGGGGGCAGGCAGGGGGTGTGCCTCCCCTCCCTGATACTCCTTACTCCTGTGGCTGTCAACGGGCCCGAGGCCCCTCTGAGCAAAGTGGGCAGAAGCCTCTCAGACCCCGGGATGTCAGAATAAGGAGGATGCGGGCCACGCGCAAGGCCTGTCCAGCCGACACTCACTCTGCCTTCTTGCGCTTGTGGTATGAGCGCCGCCAGGGATTCCTCCATGTCTTCCTCTTGGCCAGGGACAGGTCTGGCAGGAAGGCCGCCAGCGAGCCCTCTATCTGGTCCGGCTTCCCGCACAGGGCGTGCTCGGTGGAGCAGTAGTAGGAACACTCGCCATAGAAGCAGATGTTGTTGGCTGGTGGCAGACGGACATACTGGTGAGTGGGGCGGGGGGGGGGCATCACCCTCACGCCAGCCCTCCCCACCTGTCTGTCCGGGTCCAGGCCCCCAGGCACACCTTCTGGCAGGCTAGGCTCACCCACTGTCTCACCCCGGCTCTTATGAATTGCTGCAACCTGTGCTACAGGACACAGAGGCCCAGAGACAGGAGCTGACCTGCCTGAGGCCACACAGCTGGGGGAGCCGGCGTTCGGATCTCAGACTGGCATCTACTGAGATTCTAGAGTCAGTGTTCAGTGCCTTAAAAAAAAGGCACTCTCACCATGAAGAAAGTGTAAACACTCTACAGTGGGAGAGGACGTTCACAACTCGTAGCCCTGACAAGGATCTAGCACTCAGCACAGGAGAACTTGTACAACCCATAATAAAAGGGTAAATAGCCTAACTAATAAATGCCCCAAGGAGTTCAATAGACTTTTCTCCAAAGGAAATATAGAAATGGCCAACGAGGACATGACAAAGATACCCCATGTCTTTGGTCATTCGGGGAGTGCATGCTGAAACCGCAGTGAGACACTGCTTCTTACCCACCAGGCTAGGTTCGGTCGGGGGAAGAGACATGGACCAGTATTGCTGAGGGTGTGGAGTAGCTGGAGGCACACACGGTGCTGGAGGGACACCAAGTGGTGTAGCCCCCCTGGGAGCCGGTTTGGCAGCTCCTCACTAAGTCTGCCGCACAATGACCACACGACGTGGCAATTCTACGCTCGAGCATCCACGTCGTACAGAGAGGGTCCCAGCAGCTCAGTTCAGTGGCCGAGTGCAGACAACCCGTGTGTCCCTCCAGAGGCGAGTGGACAAAATGTGGCTCATCCATAAAATGGAACACTGTTTACCCACAATGGGAAAGTGTCACCCTTGCTGACACAACAAGGCTCCATCGTGGATGAGCCACAAGAGTGTGATGCTCCGTGACAGAAGCCAGACATGAGGGACCCAGGTTGGCACGCTCCGTGTGTGTGACGTGTCTGTAATGGGCAGATCCATCCAGAAAACAGTGGTGGTCCAGCGGCTGGGGGACCTGCGGGGGGGGGGGGCTGCTAACAGGGATGGGGTTCTTTTTGGGGTGAGGATAATGTTCTGGAACTAGTGGTGATGTGGCACTGTATCACGGATGTACTCAAAACCCCTGAATCGCACACTTCAAGATGATAAGTTTCATTAAAAAAAAATAATAATAAAGCAGGGCAAATTTAACTCAATCTAAGCACAAATGATGGGCACATTATTTAAAGAAAAAGAATAAAATGCCATGGTCATTTTGTTGCCAAAAAAAAAAGATGGCCAATTGTATAGTATCCGACTCATGTCTCAGTAAGACGAGTCATTGATAAATCGCGCATCGCTGGCTGCTGTGCTGTCGCTGGAGACCCCAACCAGTTGTCCCTGATGTGTGCTTCCCGACGGAGTTCAGTTGCTTTGTGGGTTCGGGGGAGAAACCCTCCAGAGCCTGGAGTGTGTAGTAACTCGGCAGCCAGAGGGGCAGGCACCATGCACAAGCCCCCAAAGGTGCAAACAGCCAGTTTGCCAGACGAGGCGTCTCCTCTGCTGCTGCCGCACACCCTGCCCAAGCAACACTCACGAGGCTCCCAGGGTCTTCCAGCCATAGGTTCACTCTCCTCATGGAATGAAAACACATGCGTGGCAAGGCCCTGCTACGTGGTGGGGGGGCACTTGGCTGCTCCCCTGCAAGTGAAGATTCTCCGCGCCCGGTAAGCAGCCACCCAGAGGAGATGGGAAGGCGCCCTGCTGGCATACGGCATGTCCCTGCTTGGATCACCTGTCTCCCTCCCAGGACCTTGTGACCCCAGAGCCAGCGCTGGATGACCGCCACAGAGGACGATCCAGGAAAGATCAGTCTGTGACCTCGTTTGTCAGCATCCCAACAACACCCAAAACAGCCTCAGCCAAGGCAGCGGCTCCACTTTCAGGAGGAAAGTCTTTCTCTGATCCTGTTGGCCAGAACCCTGGGGTGTGCCAATCTAGGAGCCGGAGCTAGTTTTAGATGGATTCACGCTGGGAGACAAAGGCATGTTGTGAGCACACGGCGTTTTCCTCCTCGGAGATGCAAGTCTGGTTTCTAAAGGGATATCCAGGGTAGGCCCGGAAAGTTTCCCAGGGGTGCAACCCCGGTGTGGTGCTTCTGCCCTGGGCCACAGTGTCCATACCTGAATGACGGCTCCAGCAGCACCTGCTCAGGGGGCTGAGTGTTAAACACAGTAACCAGGTCAAGTCAGATATGTAGCAGCAAGTCAGGGGCCACTGCATGTGAGCGGTCATTAGCTCGCCCCTGCCCTTGGACAGAAGTGGGCGAGGGAAAGGAAGGAGCAGGGGCCTGTTTCATCTCCGTGATGACAACTGAGATAGACACAGGAAAACCTGCCTTCCCCAGCACCCTAGGCCACTCCTCAACACCTGACACCTTGGGGAAGACAGGCTGGTCTCTGCACAAGGACTGACACGTTCCCCCCACCTGTGAGGCCTGAGGGTGGAGACCAGGAGCATTTCAGGGATCTGCTCGGCAAGAAGGTGAGTCCCAAAGAATGGGACGCTTGCTGTCCTCGTCCAACCTGGGTGGCTCTGAAATGTGGGTGGCTGTCAGGTGGGGCTGGAATGCTGGGGAGCTACCGTCACTCAGGAGTGGCTGAATTTTTCCCACTCATTTTAGAGAGGGTGACAAAACATGAGAGACTCTTAACTCTGGGAAATGAACAAGGGGTAGTAGAAGGGGAGGTGGGAAGGAGGATGGGGTGAGTGGGTGATGGGTGCTGAGGGGGGCACTTGATGGGACGAGCACATGTTATACTATATGTTGGCAAATCGAAATCCAATAAAAAAAATATATATATATATATAAAGGAGTGACCTGAAGACATCTGGGCCCAGCCTGGGACCCCCTCTCACCCTCCACGTGCATTTAAATTGGACATTGTCCATAGTGTGTGGGCAGGGTCCCCATGCCCACCCAGCCAGACCCCTGGCCCATGTGACAGGAACAAGAGCCACTTTAAAGATGTGGGTGGGGGCTGAGTGGCTGGGAGGGGTTCCCAGCTGCTCACATTCTGGGTCTCATCCTGGAGGTGGGCTCCCCTATGGAAACCCATGGATGTGGGCACCTTCCAGGATGTATGAGACGTGTCCACAGAAATTTACCGAAAAAGCATAAGGAATTTGTGGGGCTCAGCTCACTGGGTTCTGACCTGTCCTGCCTCTGCACTGCTACGTGGCGGGGAGCACTTGGCTGCTGTCCTGTGAGTTCTGCATCCTGACACCATCCTCCGAAATGACAGGGCCCTATCTCCGGCGCACAGAAGCACCGCAGTGTACTTGAGCTCGGCCTGCCTCCTAGGGTATCAGTCCTCCTGCCAGAGGCTGGCATCAGGCAGGGCTGGGCCAGAGGGTTGCCTGTACCAGCCACAGGCCCCTCCGGCTCTCAGCTGGTGCCAAGCTCCCCTCTTGGTGGCTGTGACTTTCCCCTTTCATGACTGACCCCAGAGCAGAACTACTCAGGCCTCTGAGGTGGAAGGAAGATTAACCTCTCCAACATGTGCCTGATGCTCAAGTGAAGCTTGGCCTCTGTGGCTACTTTGCGACTGGATGGTTCTAGCAATGCAAAGCAGAAGGGGTGCAAGTGAATCTGAATAGACTTTGTTTTCTAGAATGGGGTCGATGCTGGCTCCCACCACCCAGCTGCGTTACAGAAAACCACACACTTCAAAGGGCTTTTGGGAAGAGATCCGGCTGATGGAGTGGCGCTGCGTCCCATCAGGTCCAGACACCAGGAACAGGGATCCAGCCATCTGAGTGGCACCATGGAAGATTCCGGCAATCATGGTGCCGAACGCAGGCATCCTCGCTATTGCCATAGGACACTGGGAACAGGCCAGGGCTGACAGTTGCAGTGCACGGAGCACCAAACCACCACAGTGGGCAGCACGTGTCCTAATGTGCCTGCTCAGAGGACGGACTGACTCTGGCTTCTGTTGACAGAAAGGAATCCACAACCCATCACCCACCACACGCAGAACATCAGTGCTGGGGCTCTGGATGCTGTGGCTCCGCGGCCCCTTCCTTGAGAGCCCTGGCACGGCAGCTCCTGAGGGGAGGCCCCTCTGCCCTGAGAAAACTAAATATGGAAACATCCTCATGCGTTTTCCTCTCTTGACACTCCAGACTGTAGTTCCTCTCTTCATTTTGGGCAAGTTACTGAGTCCCTTCTGGATGGTGCCTTCAACAGATGACTGCAGGACAACGTGCACTGCATCCGTCTGGTGTAACCGGACTCTGACTTAAAAACCAACATGCTGGATACCACACGACCATGCGGATGGATCTCAGAATGGTGCTGCCGAGCCAGAGGACAGACAGACAGACGGACGACAGCACACACCGTGTGCCACTCCCGCTTGTGCAATCAGAGATACATAACAGATTGTGTTGTCTCGGAGGATATAGGCCAGGATGGGACCGGGAAGGATGGACCAGTTCACCATATCTCTGCTTATCAAAACTCATGCAACTTCTCACTGTGACACTATTTACAAAGCATGTCAATCACACCTTGATAAAATTGGTTAAAAATGGGGATGATGAAACAATCTGCCCCCCTGGTCCTGCCTGAGAGTTACATGAGGAATCCCACAGTGGGCACACAGCAGTGCCTGGCAATAGCAGGTGCTCAGTGATGTACGTGTCCCGTCCCCACCGTGTGATGACTGAGGGGAGGGACACAGGGCCCAGGGAGCCTCCTTGCAGGCCTCACTGGCAGGCACAGCCCCGTCTGAGGGGCTTGGGGGCTGCCCACATGGGAATGGGCTAGTTTCTGCCGAGGGGACACAATCCAGCCTGAATGGCCACTCCCCAAGTATGCCCTTGGCAATAACAGGCATTCTGGCCCATCTCTGCTGACCCTATGACAGTCCCTCGGTGGGTGTGGGTTCTGTGGTGAAAGCCCCAGAACTAGCCCAGGACAGAAATACAGAGCATCCACCTAATGGAGAGGGACACTGGTGAGTGATAAGCTGGGCGGTGGGTGTGGGAAGCGGGTATGTTGTAATTTTTGAACACTGAACAACATCACCAGGAATGTTACAATAAAAACCACAAAAACCACTGACAAGGAGCAGCCACAGAGCCTGGGCATCCCGCGTGACCCATCCTGGACTCGGAGGGCTCGTCAGCACTTGGGGCAGCATGGGTGTGGGGTGTGGGGGTGTGGAGGCCGATCACACAGATGCTGGGAATAAGAGCTCCTGGGGTCGGCTGTGGGCAGAGGGAAAGGAGCAGCTCGAGGTCTTGGGGCGGCGGAGGGGGGGCGTAATTCCAGCAGAGGGCACTAGAACCCAAGATTGGGGACGCAGGTTTCCACCCTTGCAGAAGGACCTTCCCAGAAGCTCAGGCTGTGCAAACAGGAGCTGAATTCCCAGTGAGCCGATGAGCTCCCGTCTCTGGGGTGTGTAAGCTGCCCAGGATGTATGAGACATGTCCACAGAAATTTACCGAAAGGGCAGGCTTAGACAAGGCTGACCGAGAAGCACCCTTTGGTCTCTGGTTACGGGGTGAGCCGCTGAGGCACAGAGAGCAGGGGCAGGAGATTTCTGTCCTATTTCCCCGTTATGGGGTCAGAGAGGAGGAGCCCCGTGAGGGTGTGCTGAGTTGCAGATGACCGAAATGAAGCCTGGTTAAGTCGTGGGCCTCACCCCAGGCAAATCTGTGAATGCTGTTAAGAAACCATGCAGCCCAAACCACCAGCAGAAGCCAGATGTCGGGGACCCCCGGGCACAGCCAGTCAAGGGCCTTACGTGGGTTTGATGTGCATGAACTAACGGTGTGGCCACGGCGTTCCCACGGACAGGCCCTCACCACCAGGAGGGTCTCTATCCCAGGGTAGGTCCATGCTCATCCTGTGCTCCACTTCTCTGGCATCCCCCGGACACCCTGGCACCTCCAGGAACCGCATACAAGGGACAGATCCCTGAGACTGAAGGTATTCCCCACGCTCAGGCTGAGCAAGCCTGCTAGCAGCCTTGCTGGCTCAAGCTCTCTCAGGGACAGGGATACCTGCTGTCACTCAGCACCCAGGACCCATGATTCTGGAGGGTGTGACTTACATTTAGGTGTGCGCTGGAGATTGAGGATATAGTCTTAAAGTTTTCCATAAATGTCAGCGCCTTTCTCTCTGTAGCACATGGTACACGCAGGCCCCTGCCACCCTTGAGGGCACCAGCAGGCAGCCCAGGCCCTGCCACTGGGTGAGGGTCTTGCCGGGGTGTTTCTTACTCCAGGGGACATTTCAGAGAACAGAGGTTCCTCCAGCCCGGTCACCTGGAGGAGACTCTCCAGAGTGGCTGGGAGTTTTCAAAAATGAACTCATTTGGGCAGCCCGGGTGGCTCAGAGGTTTAGCGCCGCTGTCAGCCCAGGGCGTGATCCTGGAGTCCCGGGATCGGGTCTCACGTCAGGCTCCCTCTGCTTGTGTCTCTCTGCTTGTGTCTCTGCTTGTGTCTCTGCCTCTCTCTCTCTCTCTCTGTCTCTCATGAATAAATAAATAAAATCTTTAAAAAAAAATGAACTCATGTTGTCTTCGAAAACAAACAAATGGTAGGAAAAACCTCTATACCCAGACCAGGGGATTGATTTAAGGATGGTAACATGGCCATTTGGCAGCCTTTTAAAATTACGATGTAGACACACCCCAACACATAACTGTGTTGTCCAGCAGAAGGGATGCCCTGCATGTGGCCCCATGAAAGCAACGGGCTGGATTATACAATTATTCTTTATAATCCTTCTTCTTCGTCAAAAAGGTTAAGTACACACTGGTGGTTACCATGTCATAAGCTGGTTACCTGGGGAAATGAAGAAGGTCCTCCACAGCTTCTTGTCTCTTGTCACATCCCGGATTTCCTTGGTCATGTTGACCATCCTGCCAGCCACGGGGGGCACCCGGCGGAAATCTAGGATCCTGGCAGGAAAGTGACAGGGAAAGGGTTCATGCCCGGGCTGGGGCAGAATGAATACCCATCTCTCTGCATCCCTTTAGGCCCAACTTGGAGCCCACAGGTCTACCTGGTGCTGTCAGCGACCAGAAGACATGGGCTCCACGAGACTACTTTATTTCTAGCATAGGCCTGCCAGGTGCCCAGACCCTCCTTTCAGGGCTCAATAAATTAAAATTAATTTGGCCACTTTTAATGGAATGCCATCTGAACTGCACTGCACTCACCCACTTGCACAGATATGAGCCCCATGTGCTGCCCCCGGATGCCCTCCGAGGGAAGGTGGCTGGGCATGGGGAGCCGGGCGTCCTATATCCCCCTACACACTCCTGCAGGCATGCCCTGCCTGCTATATTTGCCGCCTTGTGTCATAAATAAGCTCTACCTCCCAAGTGAGTGACCCCTGTTGCCTTTGTGGCAACTACTCTTCACAGAAGGGCTCTTTGTGGGGTTTGGGATGTTCAGTAGCTGAAATTGTTGAAAATCTGACTTGGGGTTTCTGTGGCTGCCAAACAAGATATGTAATCTTTAAAAATACAAAACAAAACAGGCCTTGCAAACTTCAGTGTATCGGGGGTCTTAGGAAAACCCTCATCTGCAAGTCTGGGGGGACCCCGGGGACTCTGCTTTCTACCCAGCCTGGGGGACCGTGAAGCTGCGGCCTGGACTACACCCCAAGCTGGAGGTCCCTGCCATGTAAGCAGGGTACTCCAGAGGGCCAAGGTGGGGTCCCCCACCCCCTGGATCCCTGGATGCTGGCCCGTGACACCCTCTGGAGGGCACACCTACACGGCCACCCATCACCCCTGCCCAGCTCCCCAGCAGCAGGCGGCAGTGCGGAGACCAAAAAGGAGTTCATGTTGTGCCCGGTAAAGCCATCCCAGAAGACGGGTGATGGATCTGGGGCACAGCTCACCTGTCCAGGTGGAAGGCAGCGATCTCTGCATTGTGCCTCTCATAGTCAGAGAAATAAAAGAAGTCAGGTGGTGTTTCCTGCTCCCTTGTTTGCCTGGAGAAAATGGGATGAAACAAAGGATTTATCACCGTCAAAACCCTCCAGTGAAAGGGTACAGGTGGCTTTTACCGGCTGGCAAAAACAGACTGTCAAACTTCCAAGAATGTTCTGAGCCAGTTGTTAAAGTCATCCTTAAAAATCAGCTTATATATAAACACACAACCACATAAGTTACATTTAAAAAGTAATAAACATTTAAATCTCATCACTTCCCAGTTATTTCACGGCATCCTACTGTCTGCTCTCGAGGCTGGCTGCTGACTTCTCCTGCATTTGCAGGTGCAAATAGCATATTGATGAGTTGATGCACGTCCCCAAGGCCACCTTCAGTGACCTCTTGCTGAGAGCTTCAAATCAGCCAATGAGGAAGTATTTGCACCACAGGATGGGCTTCTTCGTATGGCCCCAGCCCCAGCCGGTGCTGTCCAAACATGCTGTGGAGACCACGTTCTACGTATCACTAGCCACGTGCAGCTCTAGACACACAATGTGCTAGTGTGGCTGAGGCACCGGCTGATGTGTCTCATTCTGGCCGATCTGGATATGAGTGGGCGTACCTGGCTAGGGGCCACTGTCCTGGATGGTGCAGCTCTAGTGGGTGAGGCCTGAGGCGTCCCTAGTCCTTCTCGCCCTCTGTGTTGCTTTCCTCACCTAAGCGGAACAGTGGGCCTAGATCCTTCTCTGCGTGCTGTCTCTCTGGCTTTGCCTCTCCAGGGCTGTTTGCATGCCCTTGACCCCGGCAGCTCCTCTGGCCTGATGTGGTTTCTGTCTGCCCTCCAGGTGGGCCAGCTCTATCTGTGGCCACCACCTCCAGGAAGCCCCTCCAGAATAGTTTTTTTCCTTTCAGAGGCCTTTCCCGGTAAATGCACCTGGGGTCTGCATGCATGCATGCTAAGAGGGGAGACCCCTCCTGGCTCCCCCAGACCCTGTCTGCAGGAGAACGTTTGTCAGATCCGCCTCCATGGAACAGAGAGCACGTCCCCAGGCCCAGCTCTGCCACTGGCTGGTGTGTGACCCCTCTGGGATACCCAGTTCTACACCCTGAAGGGACAGTGCGCATAGCTGCCTCTTGGGGCTCTGTGGGATGAGGTTCAGTGTGGGCGGGCCTCCAGGGAGGGAGGGTGGGCCTCTAGGACCTCGTCTTCACAGGAGGGCCACTGAAGCCCAGGGAGGGTCACTGATGGCGGGGCCAGGGTCCTGACTGCCTGCTACAGACCACACATGCACACATGTGTACACACATACAGACACTCGCAAGTACTCCTCACCAGGACAGGGTGTCAGAAGCATCTCCAAGAGAAGTAGGACCTGGTCTGTTACCTTTTCTCTGGCACAGCCACCCTCCCGCAAAGGAGCCTGTGGTGGCACAGAAGATAGTTTGGCTTCCTTGTGGCAAAAGAGGCTCCAAGCTCAAGCCAGAGATGAGTGACCGGCACAAATCCAGGCATAAGCACATCCCACTGCCCACTGCTCTGCTCTTGGCCTAGAAGCAGAAGGGCAGCCAGGGGCAGGTCCACCCCAGGCTCTGTGGCCAGGCCTCAGCTCCTGCACCCTCAGCCCCAAGGCCTTCTAGCCAGATTAGCATACTTAGGGTTGCGAGCCCTGGGTGAGCACTGAGGGTCCAGGCAGGAGGGAAGCAGAGGGAGCAGCCATGAGAGTGTATGGGGCAGGTGGCCACAGGGTGCTGGCCAGGCTCAGCCTCCCCAAATGGCCCTCATCACCCCATCTCCTTGGTGCCTACCCCCAACCCAGGACTACCAGAGACCTCCTGGCTCCCTCTTCAGCTCTGCGCTCCTCTCTCCTCACCCCTGCGCTGCCTCCAGCATCACCACACCTCTCCCAGACCCAGCTCCCCGGACTTCCCCACCTCTGCACCTTTGCCTCTGATGGGCTTTCCACCTATACTGGCCTCCTCCGTCCTTTTCAAGATCAGCCTCAGCCCCCACAGGCTTTCCTTGGCAACCCGGCAGGCCTGCGCTGGCACGCACCTTCTGCAGAGGAACTTGGCATTGCTACATCAGAGCATTGTTTGCAGGGCCTGGGGCAGGAGTGCCTAGCTTTAGAACAGGTGTGCAATAAACAAATGAGTTGATGGAGGGACAGGGAATGGGCGCAAATCGGTCTGCAGCCTTGAGCTCTTCCCTCCCTCATTTCTTCAATATCTACCATCACCACCATCAACACCATCACCACCACCATTATCACCATGTGCAGCGACTTTATCTGTGATGCTAACAAGTGAGCATTTCTACTTGCCAACTCTTTGGCTTTTGTTCCCTCACCCTCACTCCAGCTCATCCCTCTTATCAGGTTGCACACCTGGAAAGCAGGTGGTTCCGAGCCCTGCTACCTGGGAAGCGCCAAGACACTTCCTGGAGGTGGTGTCATCAGGTTCCAGGACAGTTCCTCGTTCCCTCCTGTCTCCCACCTCAGGGCTTTCCAGTGACCTCTGTCCCCAAGCTGTCCACACAAAGAGACAGCTCTTTCCCCCACCCCGAGGCCACACACAGGCCTTCTGCTTGGCTGTCTCAGCTTCCAAATGCCCCTCCCCAGAACGAGGCCGAGTGCAGAGAAGTGGTGATGAAATGCTGTTTGTCTGTATGCTCAGCGACTGTCTTTACCCCAGAGGTGCTTGAGGGGCTCCCAGGGCCTGTGCACTCCTTGGGCAATGCCTCCAGATGTGTGAAAGACCTGGGCATGGTCTTAAGGCTCCTGTAGGCTGTGAGCAACTTGAGGTAGGGGCTTAGCTTAACCTGTCCTGCTAAGGGTGGGGCTGGGAACTCAGGAAACACCCAAAGGGGAGAGGGCATGTGGCAGGGACAGTGGGCTCCAGGGTGGGCCTCCCCAGGCTTTTGTTTCAGACAGAGTGCCTGTGGGTGGCAGTGAAGGACCCTCGGTTTCCCCAGCTGTGAAATGGGGGTAGTTCTGTGAGCCTCTATCCCCACGAGGTGAGCAGGGCTCTGGGTGCAGCCAGCCGACCCCGGCTCCTGTCATCAGAGTGCCAGGACTCACACACACAAATGGGCTTGAAGCAGGAAGAATGGCAAGAAGAGGCCCGGACTAAGTGGTAAGGGTACTTGAGAGGGGCAGGCTGGCTCTTCCTGCTGACTATCTGGGGAGCGAACACTTGGTAGCTGTGCCTGCCACCCACCTGCATGGTCTGGTGACATGACATGACCCATCAGCTTGCCTCCTACAGGACATCCTTACCAGCTGATCCCCGACTGAGAGGAAAAATCAGGGGGTCCCAGAGCTCTTCTCAGGGCTGGGCTGTGGAGCAAGGCACAGCATTGGGGCTTTGGAGGAGGCTCTGGGCACCAGTGGAGGGGAGAGAGGGATTTCTCGCCTCACCCTGGGCTGGGAGGAGCTGGGCATGGTCCCCTCTGGGGAGGACTGCCAGCTTCCTGCCACGTCCTTGGTGGCACTGGGGAGCAGATGCTGATGCTCACTCAGCCATCTGGGGAGAACACTTTGGAAAAGTTCTGAACTCACTGCACCTGGCAGGAGACTGGACACGGTTGAACCCAGTCGCCTGGCAGCCTCTCCTTCCTCCAGGTGGGTGGCGGAAGCTGGGCCCAGGCAAGGGAGTGGTCTGCCTGGGGCTCTGGCCTTCTTCCTGGGGCGTGGAGCATGGAAATGTGGAAAGAAGATGCTATCAGACAGTCGGGGTTGGCTCGGCACCCGGAGCTTGTGCCTGCCCTGACGAGGGGCGGGGAGCCCAGGCACCTGGGGACGAGTGTGCACCCGGAAGCACAGTGCCAGCAAGTCGCTGTCCTCTCCCGGAGACTGGGAGGGCCCAAGGCAGACGGCAGCCCCTCCGAGGGGCGCAGGCACAGGAGGAGGCTCCTGGTCTGGCCACCGCCCCCCCGCCCCGGGGTCCCTGCCCCCACGCAGCGAGCAATCAGAGCTTGGGAGCCCCACTCCAACGGAGGAGTGTCAGCTCACTTTCCTTGGAAAATAGCAGCTAAGGAACCAGGCACCAAGCACAGCCAAGGACATGGTTTCAGGGAAAGGCCCTGGCAACAGTGACTCAAGGTCAAAGCAGGAAGACGGTGAACTCAGGAGGCCTGGACCCTAGGGAAGGTTATGGTCCTGCTCTCGAGGAAGGCCCCCGAACCTCGTACCTCTGCCTGGCTGGACAACCACACTGAGCCCCACAGGCCATGAGAAACAGTCAGTGGGGGGCAGCCCCCAGGGGTATGCTGAGCATCCTGACACCCTGAAGTCCAGGCCTGCTAAACCCTGACAAGGGGCTGCTCAGGACCAGCTCTTGGGGCCTCCCACTCTTCCACATTCCCTCTTTCCCTCCTCTCCAGAGCTGACCACACCCAAACTCCCTCCCTTTAGAGGAGACTTCCCTTAGCTCAGGAGGAAGCACAGTAACAGCTGATCATGCATTTTTATACTAAAGTGAGAATGACTACTATGTTGAAGTCTCTCAGGAAATCCATGGTCTGAATTTCCTTAAAGGGCAAAAGGAACTTTGCTGATGTGATTAAGTTAGGCATCTTGAGATGGGCAGATTATCCTGTATCATCTGGGGTGTAACGTCATCCCAAGAGTCCATATAAGGAGGCAGAGGGAGATCTAACTGCGCAAGAGGCCACAGTGGTGGCTTCAGAGAGAGGCACTGGGAGAGATTCTGTTTCCTGACCTTCCAGCTTCTAGAGGCTTCCTGCCTTTCTCTGCAAGCAAATACATGGCCTTCCAGAGCCTTCAGAAGTAGCACAGTCTGCAGACCTCCAAAACTGTAGGAGAACACGTTCATGTTGCCTCAAGCCACTCAGCTTCTGGTAATTGGCCACAGTAGCACAGGCCACTGGCACAGAACCTTTGGCAACAGGAAAGCACCGGGAAGGACACGGCGATTTAGCAACCTTGGCACAGTTGTGAAATCCGGTCTCTTTCCTCAGATTGGGTCATGCCATCACTGCTACGTTTATTAGACTTTTAAGAACTGATGCAGAACATTTTGAGAGAAGGTGCCTCTGAAG